TGAGATGATACAATTAAACACATTTAACCAAAGGCAGCAGAAAAGGCACTGCAGGTGTCAAGTAATCTGCACATATAAACTGATTTTGAGAAGAAAAAACATATACAACATAAAAACAAATATATATTTAGCTAAACATTTGGCTTTCCAAAGCAAATTAAAATCTTGGGTGTAAAGTTTACAGAGCAGAATGCATAAGTGAGTGTGAAGCACCGAAACAAAAAATGTGAGAACTGAGTGAGAAAAGAAAATTGACTATGACAGCTTTAATTGCTGTTATAGTATCAATACTGATAAAGTGAATTTTTAGGTTTTTAATGGAGCATGTGGCATCTAAAGGGAAGAAATATTACCTGTAGAAATTACAGGCTTCTTGACTACTGTTAACTTATTTAACATAGCAAATAAAAGCATTAGAGAATAGTTACATAAGGTTTGTCTTTCATTTGCACTATAAATCACAAGTGAGAGATGAAAGTTTCTCCTCCTAAGCTATTTCATATTCTCAGAAGAAACAATTTTTGAAAAAGGGAATGAAAGATACTGTTATACATTTGCTGGTAGTAGTGATAACTAACGTGCTTAACATAAATAACAAAGGTTCACTTTACAGATCTAAGAACACGACTCAGACAAAAGTATAAAGGACAGCCAGTGTCGTAATTTGATTATCCTTAGGGATTTACAAAGCAAGTTTCATCTTCAGTCTCAATTTGACATTTAAAAGAATGCTTAAAGCAGTTTGGTTTTGCAACTGCCGCTTTTAGAGTGCTTTTCCACAGAGACGTCTGGCCAGCTTCACACATTTTCTCAAGTACTAACAACTAGCAGACCAGGTTCTATAAATAACAATTTTTATAAGCTAAACAGTTAAATCTCAAGAACAATTCTAGTCATACTGGGTTTTAGTTTTAGCTCTTCACTGAAATAGAGACATTATTTCTCTCAATCAGGATGAACACTAAATTACTTTTACTGAATACCACTTACTAATAATAAATAGTTTCCTATGAATACGAAGAAGAAAAGAAAGAAAATCCAAAGTGTATTTTGACTTCTTTTTAAGGCTAAGGAACTAGACAGGAAACATATAGGACTGATTACTGCTGCTGAAAAATGTAATCTGGTAGACCTCATCAACGCATATTGTAACAGAAAACATTCAGATCCAAATGCTCTCAAGTACAGCATGCTCCAAAACAGACAAATTCAATGTAAACTTTTCATACAGCTTTACATATTCACTGCATTTCAAAAATCAAGGTCTTGTTGTTTGATTTATATTCAAACTGTCCTTCTCAGTTTCTAGCAGTTGCTTTTAATCTGACAGGCTAGTTTCAACCAAACCTGGCAGGAAAAAAAAAGCAGGTTTTGGTCACAGCTATGTGCAGGGAAGGGGACAAAGGGACACTGCTACATAGTGCCCCATGGAGGAAAATGCTTCAGTGACTGTTCATTCATCAGTATGGCTGGCAGGTAGCCTGTCAATAGCCCAGAAGAGAACCAAACCTTGTGCTGCCCCTTGCCCTGGAATCATTTAAAGAGTCTAGGATGAAACCGGGCTTACTGCTAAGTTAGGTGGAAGAAGGGATCAAAAAAAGGAAATCAGGCATTGTATTTCACTTTGAGAAACAACATGTTTTACTAACATCCATACATTAGAAAAAAAAAAAAAAAAAAGAGCTTTGTGTTTCTTTGTACTTCAGAAAAAAAATAATTCAAAAACCATTAAGTTAAGCAAAAATTTACAATCACACACTTCCGCTTGCTTCTTTCAGTGGCTACGAAGTGGCTTTTTCTTATATCAAAAGATGGATTAAGGTTTCATTTACTACCCATTATTTAAATTTTACACTGAGGATGGCAAGTGTTACTTTCCAATGAGCATCTATACATTGTTCAGGGACACAGTACGAGTACTTTCTGAACAGTAATGACCCTATCCTCACAGCATCCTCACAACTAACAGCTCTGTTATCCCCATTTTACAAACTGAAATCGAGTTGCAGAGAGGTTACTGAAAAATGACCATCAGTTTTGAAGCAGTTAAGGTCAGCTTTTTTCGCCGAGCACTTCATACCATGTAGAGCTACTCTGTTTTGAAACAGCTCCCTTTAAGTTTGGCAAAAGCTATGAATGCTAGTCACTTTCGCAAATCCAACTCGATATCCTGACACCACGAACGCACAATTATAAGCAGCTAGAGAGTTTAACACACCAACAGAAAGAACTGCGTTAAACTCATTTGAACTCCAGCATAACATGGCAGTACAGGGTTTCCCCAGATTTAAACCTATTTGAACCCATTTCCTTTTTAGGAAATGGGGGGAAAAGCCCGTTTAAAAATACTCTATGACAAGCAGCTGTTTATGTTTAGTAATGCATTCCAATGACTATTTAGTCCAGTGAGAACACACCCCTTATTTGAAGTCTGAACTTGCTTAATTCAGCCTCCAACCACAGAACTGTGGTGTACCTTTGTCAGCTGAAGAGGTTACTTTTATCAAATACCTCTTCCTCAAGTAGGTACATATTGACTAATGAAGAAATCCTTAACATTTCCTTAGCTAAGCTAAACACAGTAAGCACTTTACATCTTAATTACTCTCCCAGTCATTTTCAAGGCTATTCTCTGGAAGCAGATTTTTCACCATCCTCCCTTCACTGTTAACACCAGATGTACTGCTCCAGTAACAGTTACAGCTAACTAGATAATACACAACCTCTTTCTTTCTGATTCCCTTGCTCAACTGCTCAGTTTTTTCACCAGGACTTTTAGCTACAGCCAAAAAGACTGACTTCAACTCCTATCAGTCATCGACTCCAATTTTTTTCAGAGTCTCAGACTGAGTCCCCCTACTTGTTGCTCAACTCAGTGTTTAGTTGCACTTATTCTGCCGTGAAGTAAGTGTTGCATATTGTTTCATGCGCCCAATTTATTAGTGATCTAAATCACTTTGCAACCTTACTAACGTTCGTTTAATCCCAAATTTATATTTATGATTTTCTAGGTAAGTAAAAACATCTGAAGTAATTCCAACACAGTTATTTATAATTAGAACCTCGGATACTCTGTAACCTCAAGTAGCAGAGGTTAATGCAACGTATGCGACAGCAGACTTATCTCTAGTATGCTCCAACGCTCGCGGATGCGTAACACACTCTGCTGTTGGATTTTGCATGTTACTCATACAGAGCCCTGCCTAGGGATCTGTGCTTGCAAGGACCCAAATCTCTAGCCAAGACATTCCTACAATTCTTAACTAATACGAGTTACTACAGTTTATTTTGTAACATAAAATTTAACAAGTCTTTAAAATACTCCAGAACCAACTCACAAGGACTGCATGTTAAATGAAAGTATAGTTGGATTTCCAGTGAGTAAATTGATAAACCTAATCAATAGGTACTTTAAAAATATACAAGCTTTCAATCTGTGTATTTACATATAATTACACGCATCTCTAAAGATTTTATTCAAAAGGTAAGATATCTCATAGACCAATTCAAAAAGACAGAGCTGTGACCAGGGCACAAGTTCCTGCCCAAAATTCCAGAACTCCTCACCGAAGCATTCACAGTGAGAAACAAGGAGAGCACCAGCACACCAGGCACCGCAAATGCCTAAAAGCATTAACGTAAAGAAAACCTTTAAACTTCGAGCTTTATTTTCTTCCTACATAGGATGAATAAGATCGCAATCTTGGGCTACTTCATATTGTCCAACTCTAAGATTTTTCTGAGTATCAACACTGTCCCTCTGACTGTAATCAGGGCAGCAGCCTGAATTGTCAGAGGCTCCAATCCAGCCCAGCTTCCCCATTTTAATGAAGGTGGAGGGGGGAGCAGGGGGTGTCTAAAGGAGAAGAAAAGAGAGAAATAGAGAGAAATAGTATCTTCCCATAAAACTTCTTCCCTTTTTCAAAGTGTTGTATAATATTTTCCCAAAATATGAGAGCATACATACTTACAATTCTTCCCTGGCTTTTAAAAGCACTATAAACGTTATTGAGTGCACTAACTAGGACGCTATCTTTTGTACCTGAACTTTAAAGGCACTTTATACAGGGTTTAATCTTCTTCATCAAAAGCCTTTAGAAATTACACTGCAGAAGGAAATCTATTCCTCTTAAGTCAGCCAGTTCCAGACCTCTGACGTGTATATTTCTGGTATGATTCTGGTATGTGACCTCAGGAGCATCAGAGGGAACAGGCCCCACCAGTCTTATGCAAGTTCTTGCCACAGTTTTCTCTGACACTGGAGTGATGAGTAGGCTACCCATACTTGGAAATAATTCCAAGAATTGAGTCTCAATGACATCTTCTAAGTTGATATGATCCTCAGTGGATCATATAATGAAGGAACGCACACACGCATTTATGCAGCTTACATCTTCTAAAGCATTTTTCAATCAGGTCCACCCAGTTCCTGCACTGATTGTCCATGTCTTCCTTTGTATTTTACAGGCAAGTCTACAGACAAGGATTTGCTGAGCTGTTACCTTCCTTTCTGCATTAATTAGTATACAGTATCAGTCACAAAAGGAATTTATGCTGCTCCAGAGTATAAGGCCTTTTGAGATTCCAGCAACTTAAGTAGAAGGGACAGCCAGAAAAGATCTTCACCTAGTCAGACTATGCACTAGGTAGAGTAAGCATTGCATTAGAAGGGAACCATCAGGGTAAGCAATATTTAGGGGCAGCAAAATAAAATTCGAGATTTCAGAAAAAAATAGAAAAAAAGCACTGAAACACAGCTGAGAATCTTGTAAACCCTTATTTGAACTACTAAATAAATAAAAAATTAAAAACCCAACAGAATATACCAAGCAGAACAGTTACTATTTCCCCCATTTCCCAACTGTTTTCCAGCTGGTACCTGCTTGAAGATTCCTGCTAGAAGCTTTTTCTGGTTTTCATCTTCCTGTCATTTTCATTCTTCTCAGATTTTATTACTTGATACTGTAAGGCAAAAATTTAAGAAAGGAGGAAAAACTTACTGGTATTGAGAACTCCTCTGCCAAATACTTCAACATCGATGCTCCTCTAGCCAAAAAGTTACTTCTCTCTGCCAGGTTGCCTTGGAGTTTTGTGTCAAACTCCTTTCTGACAACTGAAGCAACAGAGTCAATTATTATGAGTTTAACTTTCTTTGAAATAATTTCTTCTTCCAAAGACATAATCCTAAAAAAGAAAAAACAACCAAAAACCCCAGTCATGGATAACATTATTTACACAATAGAACCATTTTGTAACCCTGAAATTGTTTAAATAAAAGGTTTACTTTAATCAGCTGGAAGACAACCCCTCTTTTTCCCCCCCCTCACACACCACCTCCACTAACATCTGCATGTGTTGAAGAGATTTGGAAAGGAATCTTAGACTCCAGGAGACCACATAACCCAAGGCAGGACCCCTCCAAAAGAGAAGTTTGGAAGAACCTCTTGTTAGCAACACTATGTTGTACAACCCCTGAATGGCAGACAGCAAGTTAAGCGGACACTGAAACTGTGCTTTTTTTCCTCACAGTAGGAGCATCGCACTGCCAACACCAGAATTGTTTGTGTCCATACATGCAGAAGGTCAAATCCATTTCCATGTACCTCCAAAGACAGCAGGCCAAACCTAATCCATTGATAATACACTACTAGCTGTCCTTCAATAAAGCTGCACTAGAAGAAGAAAATATTCTTACAATAATTCTCCCACTAACGTAAAATACACAAGATTGTGTTAAAATATAACTTAGTTCATTTTCATTGCAAAATGTGGCCACAAATTAACTTAACAACATGACAATACAACACTGCCAAGAACAGCATTCAGGCTGATGACTGCGAAACGATTCCTCCTTCCCGGTGCTGGAGGGGTCCCAGTCTTCCTGGAAGTAAATTGTGCTTTGGAGGAGCAAACTCCTTTCAGGGAAAAAGTAAATCTTATACTATGGTCTCTCCACAATCCAAGACAAGATAAGACCTGTCACATGAACATAAGACCTGTCACATGAAGCCCTTTAAAGGCTTACAAGGATCAGATCATATAGAAATTGTCTATCAGGAATTAGAAAACATCAGGTGGATTAGTCACACACTATAAGATGAGAAGAACAATGTCAGACTTTCTGTAGCAATTTTACTTTTTTGAAAGTCATGCTGTTATCAACATGAAAAGGCCTCAGATAAATGAATTACTCTTCATAAAACTTTGATATAAAAAAAATTATTGTTATAGACAGTCCAGTCAAAATGGTCTTTTTTTCTTTAACTCTGGAAAAGAATACCTCTTTAGTACACTGCCACAGGTCAGCTCTCGATACAGGTGAATGCTACGGGTCATGCAGAACAGCTTTTCATCGGAGTCAAAATAAGTAGGGAATCTGTTTCCTGCTATCTCAATCAACCTATCAAAAAACCAGAAGGCATAACACTGAAAAAGGAATAGTGTGGGATAATAAGGCATCAAGTATTCAGAAAGCAAACCTCTGAATGATAAGCAGATACCAAGTAATAATGGAAATCCTTTTCAAAGGAGACGCATACTTTAGCAGTCAGACTGAAATACTGGAAGCCAGAACAGTTAGGTTCTCTTCCCAGTGATGCTAGAGTCAGTCGTACACTAGGGAAAGACATAATTTGTCTGTACGCAAAGAAACAGCGTATTTGCTATAGAAGGAAACTGCAAACTTTACAGTTACTGAATGCAAAATTCTTTGAGATTTGTACAAGAGGTTCCATTCAACGGCAAAGCATTGTCCTATTTTAGTTATTGTATCTAAATATTATTTTCATTACCTCTTTGTAAAAAGGGCTTATAAAAGCTTAAGAAAATATACTTTTTAGAACACAGAGAGAAAAAAAAAATTAGCATTGTGTCACAAGGTGACTGAGGCTCCAGCTGCCAGGCAGCTACAACTGAACATCCATCCATTCGGATAGCACAGGTACAACTGGCATGGCTGAAATAATGAAATGACTAAACAGTTTAAGTGGCTGCTTCACTGATAGAACTGAATGTGGGATTCCATGATTAAACGTTCTCCATTACCTTATTAGCAAATTCATGACCCTTCAAAACTTTGAATTACAATTGTTAAGCATACCACTGTTTATTATCAAAGTAGACTAAGGAAGCGTATCAGATAACTGGTGATAACACCAAAAGAAGTCAGAGGAAGTTGGGTATTTACTATTTGTTGTCAAAATACTTTTATATTCAGAAACTATGCTTTGAAGAAACCTCACGCACAGACGTAAAACTAAACAATTTACTGATGACAGGCCAACATCTTCAGTTAAATGAGATTTTATACATAAAATCATAGACTCTTCAGAAGTCAATGGAACTAAGTTCTACCCCTCTGAATACAAGGTGATTTTATCTAGGTCCTTAAACAAATGATCCAAAAATTTAGCTTAGAAACTCATAGTTACAGTCTGAGCATATTTTTTTACACTATGAAGATTTTGGTTTTTAACAACAGAAAATACTTAATTGTATTTTAAGCAGACATATCCCACCCCTTACAGCTTGAGAAGAGTGGCATCTAGTGGATGACACCTGTGGGCACAACTTAATCATTATCTTCATGCTTTTTATTTAGGCCTTTTTCATTAAAACCCAAAACGTTAATGCTATTTTAGAAAAATTCTTTTAAATCACTTTTCTTTGGTTTAAAAATAGAAGCACTAAGTTTGAATGTTAATATACCTATCCTGAGCAAGTAATTTCATTGCAATAGCCTGAAGCTCATTCATTAGATACCACTTATTACATCTAAACTTGTCCTGTAGAACTTCCAGGGATAGAATCTTGTCCTTGCATTTGTATAATTAATCATGCAGACCATTTTGGCAACAGTAATCTGTTATTCAATGGTCTGAACAAAATGAGATTTCAGTACACTTCCTAGTGGGCATAGATCACAAAGAACATCGTTACACAGACTGACTTAAAATGACACACCAAAATCTTGCTGAGATCGCAGTACTATTCACAGAGTTCCATGCAGGTTCAAAGATCTTTAAGATCTAAATCCTGTTTGCCATGATGAGACCAAAAACTGCAGAAAACATGTTCTCTGCAATCAGGGCAGGAGCCCATGGGGTGGAAAATCCCTGTTTGTTCTCAGCTTTGGTTCACAGAAATTTCTACCCAGTGTTTTTCACAAGCGATAAGTATGGCTAAAGAGAAAAGCAAGCCAAACAAATTATTTTCAGACTTTCCAAATGTCTGGTATGTTTTCAGTTAATATCTGGCGAGAGCTGAATTGAATTGCTACAAAACTGATGACAACAATCTTGATTTCCAGACTTACTATGGCCTTTCCATCTACTTGTCCTAGTGTCCGTGTTCTGACAAAGCTGAATGACAGACACCATCTGCACTATTACGGCTTTCTCTTACATGACAGGAAAATATATAAATTACAGAAAACAGTGGCATATCTTAGAAGACCAGCCTCAATTCTGACCACTTTTCTCAGCATTGCTATTAGGTTGAACTGAACTGTCATGTTAGAGTAAGTAATAAGACTATGAAAGTTTGTGGAAGCAAAAAGCTCCCTGCCCTGAAACCTGCCAGGCAGAATGACAAGAGAGAAGTGCCTTTTAGCAAAAGAAATAAAATTAGCAAGCTTTATGCAGTATCCTTCTAGAAGCAGCACGGCATTACAGCCAGTATGACAGCTACAACTTTGCAACCGTCAGCCCTAAAATGTAGCAGGGTTGCAAACACTCTTCCCAGGCTTTCTGATACAGACTTTTGAGTTTTAAACAAAAATAGTGCAAGATAAATGTCTCCACTAACCCCTCTAAAATAAGCTGCTATTAAATGAATATTTGCTCTCTTATTAGAAGTGTTTGGAACAACAAAAACAAACTTCTACTACAAACTTCTGCTACAACTACTTTTACAAACTTCTAAGTGTGATCTATTAACAATACATGATTATAGAATCATAAGAAAATTGAGTTTAGAAAGAGAACTCAGGAGATCTCCAGACCAACTTCATGTTCAAAGTAGTGTCAGCTATGAAGTCAGAACAAGTTACTCAAGGCTTTACCTAGTCATATTTTGAAAGCATCCAAGGATGGAGGTAGCACAACCTCTCTGAGCAACCTTGCCAATTCCTGAAAGTCCTTACACTGAAAAAGCTTCTCCATATTTCAATACAGAAATGCATTTCAGCGTATGCCTGCTGTCTCCCTCCCATACACCACTGTGCCATCTTCTGAATGGCCTCTTCATTGGTAGGGGAAGGCTGCTGTTAGATCCCCCCAAAGCCTTCTCTCTTCTAGTCTGAGCAAGCCCTCAGTCTCTCCACAAAGTGCACCAGCCCCCAACCATCTTGGTAGTCCCCAGCTGACCTCCCTGCAGTTTGTCACGTCTTTCTCAAACTGAGAGACCAAAACTGAACACAGGATCTAGATGTAGTCTAACAGGTACCAAGAGGATAACCACTTCCCTCATTCTGCTGGTGCTGCTCCTTAGAGGTTGCAACAGGGAAAGTATAAGATATAGCTTGTCTTCTGAAATTGTGTTTCAATCATTTCCAACTGAGCAATACTAAATATGATTTAATACATAAATATTCTCATCCTTAGTAATGATGTTATTTTTACCATGTTTCCTTTCTACATCCTAGTCTACTTTCAGCAGTTTCATCTTCACATTCACCCATTTTCCTTTTCTTTAGCATTTACTTTTAACCAACAAGTCTTAACTCACCTGTTGGGTCCTGCCCTTTTTTACTACCTACACTTCAGTGATCCAAAATAAAAATTAAGCGGTATGTAAGAAGGGAGCACCATACTTTACAGAGCCGTATCTTGAAGCTATTTTTAGAATCACAGAATAGTTAGGGTTGGAAGGGACCTTTAAAGGTCATCTAGCCCAACCCCCCCTGCAATGAGCAGGGACACCTTCAACTAGATCAGGTTACTCAAAGCCCCATCCAACCTGGCCCTGAATGTTTCCAGGGATGGGGCACTTCTCTGGGCAACCTGTTCCAGTGTTTCATCACCCTTATGGTAAAGAATTGCTTCCTTATATCTCATCTAAATCTGCCCTCTTTCAGTTTAGAGCCATTACCGCTCATCCTATCACTACACTCCCTGATAAAAAGTTTGTCTCTCCTCTAGGCCCCCTTACAGTACTGAAAGGCTGCAATAAGGTCCCCCCAGAGCCTTCTCTTCTCCAGGCTGAACCCCAACTCTCCTATGAGGACAGACAGAGAGGTGCTCCAGCCTCTGATCATCTTCGTGGCCCTCCTCTGGACTCGCTCCAACAGGTCCGTGTCCTTCTTATGTCGGGGGCCCCAGAGCTGGATGCAGTACTCCAGGTGGGGTCTCACCAGACCGGAGTAGAGGGGCAGAATTACCTCCCTCGACCTGCTGGCCACACTACTTTTGATGCAGCCCAGGATGCGGCTGGCCTTCTGGGCTGCCAGCACACATTGCCAGCACATGTCCAACTTTTCATTCACCAGTACCCCGAAGTCCTTCTCGTCAGGGCTGCTCTCAATCTGTTCATCCCCCAGCCTGTACTAATACAGGAATTCCTCCATATATTACACTTCCAGTTTAAAGTAAATCAAACTTCAGTGGATTTAACTTGACAAAAACAGGGTAAGAAACCACACCTTCTCATCCATGATACCTTCAAATGATTAAACAATGCAAATACATTTGCTTTGATACTCCAGATCCAGGCCATTGCTATAACTACTAAGTGATCTGAAATATATAAATTATTTCAATGAACCTTTTTCTGCCCATTTTTCTACACAAACAAGGATGAGACTACTGTACTTCTTGTCCTCCCCCGGACTCTTAACTTTTGAACTCATACATTCCGAAAAACAGTGACAAAGGAATAGACATCTCAAAACCAACAAATTCATCATGGTTTAGAAAAGTTAGCTAAGTAAATTAGAGCTACCTTTAATGAAATATTGCAAAATTATTTCAACAGGGGAAACCAACACACGCATACATCTAACTCTCAACCAGATACAGCATATAGAGTCTCCTGTCCATTCAGGAATTAGAATATTCCCTAAGTGTATTGCTGAGCAATTTTGGTGACAGGGGCGAAGCAGAAGATATTAGAAGAACTAGAGATGTTCTAGAGGTAATGGAGTATCACACTATATCTGCCACTAAGGATACAGGAGAAAAGCAAGATTACTGCAGAAGGAAATCGGAGGTGCAAAGTAAGAGCAGGGGGCCCCACTCAGCAGAAATAGGACAGAAATCTGAAGGAAAACTGTTTGTATCAGTCCTACTGTTCACAGAAAAACCTCCATTTCCTTTGCACGCAAAATGCTGAGCCTTTACATCCTCAAAACCTTCCTGCTAACTCCACAAACTAAACCACAAAGAAAAGATTTCAGGTACAGGACTGTTAACACCATTTATAAATTAGAGAGTGCGCCATCCATTTCATCATACCACAATTAGGATCTGCAAACATCATACAAATTAGAAAGGTGAGCAAATCTTTCTATTGAAATTAATTTCATCATCTATGGAATAACCGCATATATCAGATGAATGTTTAATAACTACCACAGGTATTTATTTTATAAATGCCTAATTATTGCTCAGAAAGTAATTGAAGGCTCCAAGATAAAAGGTGCTGAAGAAGTTGAAAGCAGGTATTTTAGAATTTTGCATCTTACCTTTCAGCACTGAATGCAGACTCTGTGTCAATGTATATAACAGCCCCATCTAGTCCTCCCATGCTGACAGGTAGCGTAGCCAGAACACTCATCATAATACAAAATTGAGTTTTGCCACAACCTGGTGGGCTAGTTAGCTGGAAGAAAAAAGAATAGTAACATAAACAAGAGATGTCACATTCATTTCACCCTAATGCTACTTTTAACTAAGAGCCATCAGCCAGAACTCCTCAAATTCTGCTCTTCCAGTTACCAAAGGAGACGGCGACAAAAAGATAGAATGCAGCCCATAAAGAGCAACTTACAGTTACTCGTGGATCTGTGCCTTGCAGTCAAACTCATCCACTGAAGAATAAAAAGTTCTTCAGACACAGGATTATACTTGTACTTTATTTCTTTGACATCCTTTGTTACCCATCATATTTGAGGTCCCCTACTCTCCCCTTCCTCTTACAAGATCTTTCCTAAAGCCACACCTAGTTCTCTTCCACCTCCTTCTCTGTGCTACCTTCTAAAATAGAACAGAATTAGAAGATTCACAGTTGACGTTCACATGACATCAACTGTCTTTAGAGCTGAAAACAAAGTCCAGAGCTAATGAGTTCACAGATATAAATGACTGCTTAGGAACCTCATCACCTTGGTTACAACCAGGTCTCACTTGGAAGTCACAAGGATGATAGCTTATATCCTGCGAAGACTGAATGTTCAATATGAACCACACAAATATACAAGACAGTCTCTGCATGCCCCAGAGACCATACTCTGCTATGCAGCATGTGTTTTGCCATTGGTGTTAACTCCCTATTACCATATTTTAACATGAATATCATTTAATGATATTGAACATGAATATCATTTAATGATACAGACAAGCCTGCCGATTTTAAGCTTTCACCTGTTCTTACTGAAAGCCTACTGCAGATAAGCAGTATTCAAAAACAGCACACTCAACTTGTGTGAAATGGTTCCAGTATGATTTTGATCCAAGAGAAAAACCACAAGGAACAAAAGTACACATTGTTTGATGAGATCCCCAGTTTCTGAGGACAAGATTTTTCTACTGAAGATGGCAGCATGCTGTTCTTTATCCACTGCAGACCTTGCAGAGTTTGCAAATGAATGCTGGGCTCTGTGTTCAGACAATCATAGGTTCATTACTGCTATTGTGTGTCTTTAAATACATCATCACATTCACTGCTGCTGGGAAGGGAGATGACAACATTTTAAATACTAAGAGGGCTTGAAGTGACTTTAGGCACTAAAAACAGAGTGATGGGTTCAATCTAATGCTAGCAGAGACTAAATAATAATGCAAGATAAAAGTAAGCCTCTCCAGGGAAGTTAAACTGCAAAATGAACCATACCTCCTCAGAACGCCAAAACAAGGTTTACACACAGAGCTGTTGTTTTAAATTAAAAAAGAAACCTTAAAATGCACAATAGCTTGTTTTTAAGTACAAACACCCTTTCACCACAAGATACTACAGTATCACTACAGTTTCATTTTAAGCAGCATCAGCATGACTTGAAGCACAGAAAATTTGCAGGGAAACACTGAGGGACTGCATTAGCTACAGTTACACATTAGCTACTGTTAACAGTTGGTTAAAATCCCTTTAATCACTTTTGTCTTTAAACAAGGCCTGAAAACCAACCCATATCACTCAATCTACTTCAAGCTTTAATGCAAGAGAAGCATTAGAAGATCTATGTTTAGAAGCACACACTGCATTTAGTGAATTACAGATCCGGAATCAGTCACGTTTATGCAATTATCTGTCCTCCGTCCATCGTACTTAAATTACAAAGCATCATATCAACAATAGCTGCCAGATTTTAATATGAACCCAAAGCATATATAAAAATTGCAGAGGCAATACAGATTCCTCAGGCTGTGATAACCAAGGAATCTCACCAGCTGTCTCTAGTTAAAAAGACGACTTGAAATGAATGAGGGGAGGGCATCGATCCAGTTGTTAAATTAATGTTTTGACAACTGTGAGGAGACATCATAAAAACATTTGTAGTTTCAGCCTTGCCTGGGAGGTGCATTGGAACCAACATTTATTTCAGTGGCTGATGCGGGAGCTAATTCAGCAGAGATCCTGTGAAAATGTCTGAGGAGAAGAGCATCATATGAGAGAAAGACAGGGAATCTTGCTGTACGAGCTAGTACAAAAAAGCAAACTAGTGTAGCAAGAGAGAATTTCTATTCCCAAAGACAACAATACCTCATCTTTTATCAGCATTCCTTTAAAGGGCATTAAAATGGGATTTTAAATAATCCACAGTAAATAATTTTAAAGAACTACCACATTTTATTGTAGTTACCACTGGGGTTCAGCAAATGTTTTTGAACAATACAACCTTCATTTAAAAAAAAACAACAACACTAAAATTCCTCTAACATCATTTAAATCCAATGTCTACAAAAAGTTTGCTTAGCTTGTTTTACTCTAAATTTGCTCTGATGAAAAAATAAAAATAAAAAAATCAAGTCCACCCAGATAGAAATGTGAAGACTACAACAGTTTTTAATTTATCTCTCCCTAATAAAATATACTTTTATTTTTCAATAAGCTATGTATTATTTTCTCTGGCACATCTGTAGGGTTTGGATGAAATCACAAGGAGCTAATTCTTCTTCAGCTACCAGGGGATTAAACTCTTCAATATTCATAAATTCATTACTTTAATTTTTCCTCATAGGAGTTAGCCAAAAGCTCTGACATCTGACCACAAAATTTCAGCTATGATTTAATTTCCAACTTAAAACCTAATAGCGTTTGGGGAAAAAAAAATGGTCTGAGACAGTGTAACACAAATCAAATCCCTCTGGCACTCAAAAAGCAAGCAGCTTTGGCTGTAAAAGATACCACCACGAGTCTTAACCCTGTGGCTCGTGTACTCAAATTCCAAGTTTCCAACCACCCTCACTGCTGGGTAAGGTAACAGGAAGACAACGATTTAGCCACACCACTCAGGAAGTAAATGCTGCACACAGCGTACTTTTGAAGAGAACTTCTCTCAGACTTAGAATATCTGCCGAATAAAAAAAATACTAAAGGACAATCTGCTGGTCAGCTATGCTCCAGTAAGTTGCAAAAGAGCAAATTAAAATTATTAAGTTCCAAAATCACTTGAATCCAAAAAGAAAGCGACCTGAAAGGGTTTGCAAGCTGCAGTACAGCATCAAAGCAGCAGCAGACACTTGATAGCTTTCTACTAAAATTTCATCTATCATGCTGAAGAACACTTGCAGCGCTGCCAAGCTTTCAAACTACTTTAGATCTCATGACTCTTGCAAAAATGCTTTTAAAAATCTCCAGAAACAGTCTTCAAATGAGAAACTCAGTTTCTGCATAGTTAATTGTTCTCCGTCTTTACATTTACTGAAAAACCCCTAATACATGCTGCTTTCCACAGTTAGGACCTAAAAGGCAAATAGAAAGCAATACACTTTTTTTATCCTCAGACACCTCTAATCTCTTAAATTAGTCATCTGATTTCTGGAGTCTACCTAGTTCTCTCTACAGTATTTCCGATTAAATAGTGATTATGCATCAGTATTGTCAATCAGGCATAAGGGTGCAACCAAAACGAGGCTACTGGTGGAAGGACGTAGTGCTTGTAGTTCTGGTCTCATCCACTAGATGTCTTGTACAGACCTCGACATCTCAGCCCCTTGCAGAGATCACCTATTCAAGATAAATGCATTAAGCAGGCCCTGTATTTTTAACCAAAATACGTTAGAATAATAAAAAAAAAACCTTAATATTCAGAAGAAAAGTTCAACATCTTTCCTGGCATAGTGCTTTTAATTCACAGTCAGATAAAAGTTCAGCCTACCATTGAATATATTAATTTCCCCCCCATGTACCTTTAAACACATTAATACAGATGTACGTATAGTACGACCATTCTTAATATAGAGTTTAGCAACAGTTTCACAGATTTACTCATATCTAAAGAAATAAATGTTTTAAGGAAACATTAAAAAAATAAAAATTGAGTATTGTGATAATCAACCAAACTGAGAAGGATTAAAAAATACATAGCTCTGGAAAATTAAGCATTTGCATTTATTTCCTGATGAGCATTATTTTATACTAGCTCAGGAAAATTATATTTGATATCCATGTTTTGATATCAACTGCTTGCAGAACTTCCTTTCAAATAATAATAAAAAAAAATAATAAAAAAAACAACACAGATCTTAGAAGTCAAAGATTAGCTAAACTCCAGTAAAACTCCCAGCATGTCAACCACTGCTTTTCCCAGATGTCCCTCTGGAGCAATGCCAAGAACACAGTAATCAGCAAGCTTAAAAGTCTATCAGTGCTCCAGAGCCATTCTATCTGGTCTTCAGGGAAGAACCTGTCAGACTGCACTGATAGCTGACTTAGAGCCATGCTTCGGATTAAGAAAAAAGACAAACATTCACAACATTGTTATCAGCAGCCTTGCAAATTAACTGTGCATCTCTTCCAACCCAAAAGGATCACATTCGCTTATTTTTTTAATTAGGAAAAAAATACTCCAGGATCCCCGATGTAAACTTTTACACTCTGGACATCTTTTACTTAAAATTGCCAAGCCACAGAAAGGGGGGCAAAATACACGTGGTTATCTGCATTGACCTACGGAAGGGTGACATCCTTTGTTGTGGGCACCACTAATGAGCCAGTCACAGCCTCAAGAACACGCTAAAGTCAGCATATCACAAGAAAAAGACACATCTCTATTCTACTTTTCTCCTACATCTGCAGCAGTGGCTCTGTATTTCAACTAAAGAAGCACATTTGTTTAAACAAAGTTTAAGCAGCATGTGAACAGCCATTCTCCATCCCCACTGAAGAAAAGTTAGCAGACCGGATGGAAACCCTGGAAAGCCACAAGTGAGCATCATTTCTTTTCAATCATGGGCTGCCTTATTTCATCAGCTGACTGCATGAACAGTATCAAAAAGAAAAGAGGTCAAACAACACCTAGTGTGGCCACTGCTTTGCTGCAAAAAATATTTTGAAGAACCAAAAACTCATCTCCTGCTGAAGGTACTATCCTTCAACAGCAGAATAATAATTACAATCTCAGGACCCTGCATATCACACTGCTACTTCTAAGAACAGTTCTTTCTCCTTCAATGAAACAGAATTTAGCAAGTCTTTTCTCCCAGAATTTAAAGACTAGCATTACTATCTTAAGGTTAAGTTCTTCCAATTCAATTTTCTTACAGTAAATTGGTAACAAAGCTAGGACTAAATATGAAGAAAATAATTCTGACAGATCAATGTAAATTAATGGATGCGTTCTTAACCATTTTTTATGGAGACCTGAATAGTGTATATTCCTGTAAATCATATATAAAAATAAATACTCAGAATCTTCAAGTAGTAATATACCCTCATTACATAAGAGTCTACTAGAGCAGAAACTTTTATAGTCCAAACTCAGTGCTGCTTAAACGCTAATATGTTTTAAGTCACTATCAGATTTCATAACTGATTTCTATCCGAGATCAAAACCAATTTAGTTTGATTATATGATGTGGAAAAAAAAAAAATTCCTTAACTTCACACTTCTACTCCTCTACTGTGGCAACTTGCCACAGTAAACAAAGAAAAGCACTTGGTAAGGACTGTTAAAGTGTTTAAGGAAAAAAATGGCTTCAACCTGTCTATATTCAGAGCATGAGGCGCATTATATATTTTTCCACTCGTTTCAAATGCACAGCTGAATTCAGAACTTTAAGACAGCAAGTATGGCCACATCACATAAAACCAAGGTCCAATCTAGCTCTGGATTCTGTCTCTACCGAGGGCCAACAACAGATGGCTAGGGTAGTAACAGAAGAAGAGGGCACACATATATTGATACTCCCTCCAATATATACATTTCTCTGTCTCCATTTGTAGCTCAGCAAATTCCTAAACCAGAGATTGCGTCTTTGCATTTTTATACTACTCGGTGACTCCTATGAGCATCCACACAAATCCTTTCCAGATTACAGAAACTGTGCAAGTTGTGATCACTTTCTGCAAGGCCACAGAGAAATCCAGGTACTAGAAGATTAAGTGTTCCTTTGTTCTTAAAACAAAATACTAAGCAAAAAAGTAGCACTGCATCCAAAAGCCAGAGAGTGACAGAGTTATACATAGATACGCAATTTGCAGCGTTGCAACATATGCGCATATAATACAGGCCTTAATTACTCTTTTAAAAAAAGAATGCATTACATACTTACTGCATAAATTCATTACATTTATATATAAAAGCTTTGTAAAGTCATTCTCATGCCTATATGCTTCACACTTTTGTCCTAATTGCTTGTTGTACCTTCATAAAAACCTAATTACTTGGTAAAATCAGAGTGAGTCATTATTAAAAGGACAGACTCCTGATTCAGTACTGTGTGCTCTGACCACGAAACCACACTGCAACTTTCCCACTGTAAAATCAAGCCAATGATTCTCCCAATTTTCTTGGGAAAATTTTCACTTTTTTAAAAAGAAAACAGGATCACCAGATTGATTTATTTATTTAATTCCTTCATTTTCTTATTTACCTGACATGCTGGGGGGGGACGGACGGGACACACCAAAAACAGCCCCCCAAAAAACAGCCCCCCAAAAAACACAATTAGAAAAACACATTCTCATTCAATTTTTTTGTATATTTTCTGTTTAAAGCACGTGACACAAAACAGTCCAACCTATCTGTGACTTTTGACTTCTAGGTGTGTAGCTGCAGTAAAATATGTTAAACAAGTTACCTCTGTGAGGGATCCACAGGGTACCCCACCATGCAAGACTTCATCCAAACTATGCAGCGTGGTGGATAAAAAGGCTGAAGAGGGATTGACAGACGTCCTCAGTTTCATTTCATAAGCCTACAAAAGGAGAGAAAAAAGCAAAAGAAAACACACAAATCAGAAAACACGTGGTTTTTAAATGGAAATGGGAAACTTCTGACATTTGCTTTCATCAACCTGGAATGACTTAACACTTGCCAATGAGCAAACTATTCTTACCTTCAGCTATAGTCCCCTCTCAGCTCATCACCCTTCCTCGCATTTACATCTCATGTATAGCTCACAGAGTAAATTCAAAAGTTTGTTTTATCTCCCTCACCACAATATTTAATAAGTCTTTAATAATCATGTTTCAAAGGTTTCCTCTGTTTCTGTTCAACAAGACTTGCTTTCAACCCGTAAAACACCAACTTTAAATAAGGAAACACTGTATGTATGGTTAGTGACCAATGCAGAACATTCACATGAAACCTAAAACGAAGAACTCGGGGGTTGGACTAGATGATCTACAGAGGTCCCTTCCAACCCTGACCATTCTGTGATTCTGTGAACTCCTTGGCCAATGTTTGTTACCAATTTGAAACTACCTGGGTTCAAGGAAAGGTTTGGTAAAAATCCTCAAGACTTTGAACAAGCCTGGGCTGATCCTGTAGCCATTTAAAATTTTCCACTTTTTTGAGGAAGACTAGTCAAGAAGACAGGACAGGTACAGAACTGAAAATAGCTGAATTCCTGGTTCCTCCACTGACTAGAGGAACTGGTCCAAGCTCAGAATTCTAGTTCATAAGAATTATTCTAATTTGGCGAATCAATTTAAACCAGACAAAGAAGAAATGGCAAAATGGAAATGCTAAGATGGAAACAACAAAACATGATGTTTCCAAAAGAAATTGTGCTGCTGGGGAACGTGAAGCTCAAGGGCAGCTCTGTCTGCAGTGATCATGAAATGGTGGAATTCACATTTCTCAGGGCAGCGAGGAGGGAGCACAGCAACCTCACTACCCTGGACTTCCAGAGACCAGACTTTGGCCTGTTCAGGGTTCTGCTTGGTAGAGTACCGTGGGATAAAGCCTTGGAGGGAAGAGGGGCCCAAAAAAAGCTGGTTAATATTCAAGGATCACTTCCTCCAAGCTCGGGAGCGAGGCATCCCAGCAAAGAGAAAGCCGGGGGGAAAACACCAGGAGGCCTGCACGGATGAACAAGGAGCTCCTGGCTAAATGCAAACAGAAAAAGGAAGCCTGTAGAGGGTAGAAGCAAGGACAGGTAGCCTAGGAGGAATACAGATGTTTAACGCCTGTGTTGGTGTCGTGGTTTGGCCTCAGCCGGCAACGAAGAACCAGGCAGCCGCTCGCACCACTCCCACAACCCTCGG